TATCATATTATATTATACGTATATGATTTTGTTTTGTTCTGCACCATTGATCCTATGCTTCTTGGTTGTTCTTTCTTGGATTCTAAGTTTATCCACCTACATACAACTAGCTACTATAGCAGCATCATGTCACCCTAGGAGTATTCCAAAGAAGGAAACTTAGAAAAAAAGACAACCTAGGACGGCTGTTCTTAACTGAACAAATGGTTCTAGCTTTCACATTTGTTGCATGTCGATCACTCTCTAAATTAAAATCTTGTTAATATAATGCTTTTATTACTTTGAAAATATATTATCTTAAAATTAGTTTTAATTAGCCTAAAGGATTCTGATCAGAAAAGAAAATACGATAGTAAAGCTGTACTTAATTAACTCTGGGTAATTAATATATATTTTTAGTATAATAAGAAAAAGGAATTATTATATAAATTTTAATTTTGTTAGTTTAATTAAAAGAAAACATATTACGTTAATATGCAATTAATGTTAAAGGAGTCTTTTATTCTTTACTTTTTGTTTTGCAAAATTAATATATTTAGTGGTTGTCTTCAAGGTTAATTGCTTAATAATGTTACTTTTTTATATAAATACGTGTTAGATTACTAAACACTAAATACATGTTAAATCATATTAACCATTAATAGAGGTTAAACAAAACTAACATAATTAAAATTGTTGAACTTTTTAATTGTACTAAAAAAGAAACACGTCAATACTATACTTTGTTGTACTGATCGACTGACTATTTATCCATTAAGTTTTAAATATTTTATTGGATATTTTTAATTGAATTTCTATTTATAAAAAATATTTTATTGAGTGTTTAAAATATTTTCTATTTTCATTTATGTATCTTATGATTTTTTTTATCAATAAAATAGTGTGATCTTTGTTTTTTTTTTCCTTTTCTTCTCCACTTCTCATCATTGTTTTGTTTTTTAAACTTTTTCTCAAACTCACCAGTGAACTCGTGCTGGAAGAAAGAAGGAATAAGTTGATCAGTGAGTTTGAGGATATTAAAGAATAAAGTAATTGGTCAATAAGTTCTGGTGAGAACACAAAAGTTAACAATCACGTCATCCTATTAAGAGCACAAATAAAATAGCATAGTAAAAAGAAAATTCCAAATAGTTAATAAACCAACATTTTTAATTAAGTTGGGATAAGAAGAATTGAGCATATAATTAAGAAATGTGTTTAAGTTTAGTTTTATTTTTATAAAATCGGTTTATAATTCATAAAATAATAAATATCATTAATTTTACTTTTAATATTAGAAGAGAAAATATAACACATGATTTCATCCCGTTGATAAGAAATATTCAAATATTATATTAAAAGATGAAATTAAGTCTAATTTAATTTTATAAAGTTAATTTATAAAATAAAAATTAATTTATTTATATATTACAAATTAATCACGAATGTTGGATCTCTATGGCTAATTCATAAGGTAAGAACATAAAAAGAAATTTAAAAGTTAGTGTTTCATACATAGTCTCTCTAATTAGAAATATTGTATTTACCAAAAAAATAAAAAGAAAAATTAGAGAAAAAATTAGTTTGAGCACATGGAGAACAAATTAATTAAATTAAAAGTGGGACCCACGTGGGACCAGCTTTTGCCACGTGAATGATTAAATAATCCACTTGGGCATGGCATGATGACTTGTAAGTTATCTCATGCTTTTTCCATTAAATTACGTTTCTCTCTCTCTCTCTCTCATGCTTTCCCTTTCTTGAATGCATCATTTGGTGCTTTTCTCCTTTTTCAGTTTATGCTTTCTTTGCTTTTTCTTCTTACTCTCCCATCCAATAAGAATGACGTTTTCAGTCAATTAGAGTATTCAACATAAAACAACCTAATATCATGTTTTAACTTGCTATTACCCATTTCAATGACCATATATAATTAAGCTTAATTCAGTTCTATTGTTTTCTATACTGTTATAAATATTTTTTATGTTTATTTTCTTATTAAAAATTAAATCTTTTTATCAAACCAAAAAAATTAACATTTGCATAGCAACTTAATATAATATTTTAAATCACTTTAAGCTAAAAGTTATACATGATCATTACCACTATAAAAGGATATTGTTCGTATAATGCAAACTAACAAATTTAGTATAAATTAACATCATACGTTTGTATACAGTATCTCATAAAATTAATTTAAAAATTGGATTTTACACTTTGTTTATGTATTTTGATAATTCTTGTGCTATATTTTAAAAGTAGTGGCTTGTCTAAGACTCATAAAAAGTTGGTATGAGTTAGAAAAAATACATTGTGACACAATTTAAATAAGTCCAAAAGTATATTGGCTTAATCCATTAGATTAGGTTAAATTCACATTCTTACTATTTTTCAGTTTTTAGAATTTTAGATTTGCCTGAAAAGATTTAATTTTTAATACGAAAATAAACATAAAAAATATTTATAACAGTATAGAAAACAATACAACTCAATTAAACTTAATTATGAAATGGATAATAGCAAGTTAAAACTTGATATTAGTCGAATTAGAAAAACAAATTATGACAAAACTAAATTTGCTTGATTTAAAAATAAAATAACTTAGTTTGTAAAATATTGTCAAAAAAAAATGTGTTAAAATTTATTTTTCAAAAGAAATTCACTTGTTAAGACTTTGAATTAAGTTGAGAACTAGTCTACACGGTTAACAAAGTCAATGATATATACGTTGGGAATAAGAAAAGAAATATTAACATTTCATTGTATAAGATAATAAAAATCACGTTGAAGATTTTAATAAACTAAAAATAAAATAAAATTATACATTATAGATAAATACAAATATCATTTTACTAAATTATTTTATAAAATTGAGTTTAATCTTAAATTTATCTTTCTCAACTTGAAAAGTAAGTATAATGTCAATTTAAAATCTAAAAAAAATTATAATAATAAACTCCCGAAAATAGATAGGAGAGAAAAGTAGAAAAAAATGTTTTCAAAAAATAATATGTAACAGGAAATAATGAAAACTATTTAAAAGAATTCAAAAAATATGCAACAAAATTTACAAAAGTATTATATTTAATAAAAAAACATAATAAATATTAATTATCTCAATTAGTGAAATAAGTCCGAGAATAAAACAAAATCAAACAAATATGTATTGTTGACATTAGTAGTAAACCAATTAGATTAAAAAGAAGAAAAAATATGTAAGTAAAGTTTTATTATTTTACTTTGCATTTATAACAGTAGATGTTTAGAGTTTTCTTTGTTTCACTATCGAGGTTTTATTCTGTGCTTGCTTGGATTTGATGAATTGTAATACTTCAGGCACAAACTAAGTTATTTTATTTTTAAATGAAGCAAATTTAGTTTTGCAGTAATTTTTTTCTCCATAAAATCTTTAAATTCTCATCAAGATTTTGTTTTTGATCTTCACAAAGTGAGTATACAATGTATTGAAACTTATTTTGCTAAATAAGACACTAATTAAAACATTGTATGCATAAAAATATATTTAAAAAATCATTTTTCTCTTTCTAACCCGTAATATCACATCTTATAAAATTTTCAAATTTTACTAAATAACCATCTTCTATTTTTTTTAATTATTTTTTATTCTAAATTCTTCATAAATATTTATCTATTTTGATGAAAAAAATCATTTGAAATCTTTAAAATAATATATCATGACAAAACCGAAACTTCCTTTGAAAAAAAGTAAAAAGAAAAAATGAGATAAAAATGAAAAGAAAAAACTAAAATTGCACATAATTCAAAATAAGGAAATAAAGGTATTGTTTCGGCACGATTTAGAACCCTAATACATAACATTTAAAGTTGTCTATTCCGATGTCCAGTTATGCTGTCTTTTCTCTTCTCCTTGTCCAAGCCGCAGAGGAGGGTGCCTGCAAAAGACACTCCGACGCTCAAGTCAGTGACCTCGCGTAGTAATCTTGTAATCAAGATTAGTTATCAGAGTTCAAAGTTCAGTTCAAGTTCAAGTTACATGTCTTCTTTACAAATATTTATAAATTATAATGAGCTTACCGTTAGGTCTGACTCATTAAACACAATGAATGACAATATTAATTGTCAATAAATGACAATTTTTTCATTAATTCCCGACAATTATTACTATTAATTACCTTAACGGCTGATTTTACCGGTTCATTGACCTGAGAGGTATCATGGGTCGGACGACTCTTCTGCATCAAATTTAACAAACAAAATTATCATTGCATCAATAAAAAACAATTAATTAAGATGGGGATTAGGCAAAAACAATATTAAGAACAAGACTATAATTAATTTTTCCTTAGTTTTCTCCATATTTCTATAATTGTTAAGAATTGAATTTTAAGTCTCACGTTCAGATATATATATTTCGTACATAGAACTAAACGTTAATGGGTGATCCGAGAGTGATAGTGACTCGGTGAAAAATACTATGTGTTCTGATTATAAGGTCGATGTTATAAATCTTCTAAGTCTTGTATGTTTGAATGTTTGTCTCCACCCACGTTCGTCCTTCACTTTGATACCAAAATTAAAAAAGATTCTACAAGTTCAACAATAATTGCGTAATAAATTCAAAATCACCTATCTTATTACCTCAAACATATTTATAAATTTTGAAATGAGTTTCAGTACCAGCCTAATTACCGTCAAGCTTAATTGACTTTATTTATAGTCGACTTTCAACGACAATTCTTTTAATATAACAGTCGGACACATTGAAATTGCAGTTTACTGAGTAAATACTTTATATAAAGTCATTTTCATGAGTTTAAATCTCAGCACAACTGTTATAGCAAAAGGAAATTGAGAAAAGAGAGCAAGGAACTTTGATACATAGCAAGTATTATTATTTGTTGGTGAAAATAAAAAATCTTCAATGTCTTTATTTATATGAGAAAGGTTTAAGGAGCAATATATTAACCTAACAATTATGGAAAATAGTTCATCTGTTAGCATTACCAATGCAGTTGAAAAGCATACATGCCCAGATGTTATTAATTATTATTCCTTATTGCCCTTATTTTAATTCAAGCCATCATCATATATGAGAGTTGGCTAAATACTAAAACAGCAAATTCCAATACAATGAGAAAAAGCAGGAACAAGCCATAACCATTCACTGCCTAACAAGCACTCATGTTTCATCAATCAAGCCCTGACATCTTCCTGAAGTGAAGAACAAACTGGTAGATCTTGTCTGGGTCTGGCAGAACTTTGGCAACAGATTCCCTTTGCAAACACCTCTTAATCCAAGCTGAGATCTTTGGTGAATGGTCTGCAACTTTGAAGCCCCCAAGCTCCTCATAGGCCAAAAACCAAGCTGAATGAGGAATGGCTATGATGTCCAAATACCCAAAGGCATCACCACCAAAATACTCCTTCTCCCCAAGAGCTTCCTCAAGATGCTTCAAAACTTCAATGAAGTCCCTAGTCCCCACTTTTCTCTCTTCTCCATTGCTTGCCCATATGCTCCTCCCAGTTTCAAACACCTTCCATGCATACAAGTAACCATCCATAATCATATATGCATACATAAATCTACTTATTTCAATCTCTTCTAAACAGAACAACTCATTATCACAATTTACATGTAAGCAAAACAAATATCAAATGACATGTAAATATTACACTGTTAAAACTTTACTGTCCAAGTATACTACACGTTTCAATTCAAAGTAACCAAATCCACAAACCGTATCATCTTAAACTAAAGATAGTGAGCATAAATTTAAATATATAGAAATTTCAAAACCAAGCAGTTACTGGTCAAAATGTTCCAGACTTGAAATAAGAGTAAATTACATATGGATTAGCCTTGGCTTACTATCATTTAATTATAAACTATTATGCATAATAAATTTATTTTTTAGTGTAATAAATATCTTGAAAGTTATATTATTTATTGTTAGAACTTATTCTTATCCCGTATAATAGTCTCACATTATTTAAGTTAAGATATAAAACAGTTTAAATAATTTTTCTTCCACTTTAAGAGCAAAACTTTGATGAATTACATACTCTAAAGCCGACTTGAGTATGAAATTATGTCAATTTTGTGTTAAAAGTCTTACATCAATTACATATAAAGTCATCAAAATTATATAAGTGACTACAAAATATTAAAAGTTAGTTTTGAGACTGAATTATGCTTAAATTCTACGTTTTAATTTAAACTGTTCTAAGCTTCAATTTTTAAGTGAAATGGGACTGTTACACGAACCTGTACCTCTTTACCTTTGGCATAAAATTAGCATAAACTGATAGGCTGTTTAGTGATTGAGAATGAGGCAACCAACCTTTTTGTCGATGTAATCAACCCAGAATCTGGATTGGGCACGATCATAAGCACTGGATGGAAGCAGGGATTTGGAAGGCCAGACTTCATCAATGTAACTAACTATGATAGCAGATTCAGCAAGGGGTTTGCCATTGTGCAAGAGCACAGGAACTCTTTGATGAATGGGATTTGACTTCAGGAGAAGTTCACTCTTTGCCCCAAACACATCCTCTTCACTGGCTACATGGTTCACCCCTTTCTCTTCCAAAGCAATTTTCACTCTACCACAAAATGGGCTAGCCCAAAAGTCCAAAACCTCAACCTTGTCACCCTTGGACATGTTATCTTCTACAAATTTGAGTTCTTTGCTTTATTTTGAAGCTATCCGTTCTGAGACGACTAGAAAATGCGAGGTAAGTGCTAAATTTATAGTGAACAATTGGATTGGATGAAATCTTTGGAATGTACACAACGCCTACAATGTTCTTAGCTTCGTACCTCACAATGTTTCTACAATCTTGTAAGTGTAAATTTGTGTTTTGGTTTCAACAGCCTTTAGTAAAGAGGACACTGAAATTTGGCGTGTGGTGGGAATGGACGTTAGTACTAATGGCCGGCAGAAGGTTAAGTAACTTAAATTAAATCCATTTTGTTTCCTATACAAATTAGATAGTAGCCACCGCGCACCCGTAATTCCGTGAATATATAAGAGGGATTATAATAAGAATATAAAACAAAAATAAAACACCACCTAAGTAATTTGTTATTCATTAATCAACTAAGCATAGTTTCTAAATACTATAGAGGATCTTTAAATAAAGAATTTCTAAAATATTATAGAAACTACAGAGGATCCACTTAAAAATAGAGTAACCGGAAATAAACTTAGCCTGAATTTAGTATTGACTATAAATTCTAACTGTAATGTATCCTCAACCTTCTACTTATTTTCATTCTTAGAATTTTGAAGGTAAATGGAAACTACTATATTATTTGGTGCTGGTTAAGTATTAAAGTTTCCATGAATTATTTGATGTATAACATAATTTTTTCAGCTTTAAAAATAACAACTAAACCTCTCACACCACTAAACTCCACTCTTTCTATTACCCACAATAAAACCGTCTGTTCAACCAAATATTGTAAAATGCTTCAATCTTTGGCCATGTCAAATTCAATCAATGACACAATATTTCATAGTGATAGACCATGGTTAGCGTTCCTCTTTTCATAATTAATTGACCAACAGTTCAAAAATAAAGGCATACTTTGCTCAACTACAGAAAAATTCGACAAACCAAAATTTTGTGAAAATGCCTATCAACCAACTCACGGATAGAAAGGAAAATACAGAACTGAAACAGCCAATTTTGCAGGGAAACATTACCATTAAATGGAGTTAAAAAAATCATCGATGTGTCAACAATTACTACACTTTGAACTGGAAAATAGCAATCGAATAATTATGAAATGAATATGATAAGAAACCGTTTTGTACATTTTATATACAAAAAAATTGCATCTTCTGATTTTTTTTTCTAGTAAATGTATTCCCAACAAAACTAAATTTATCCCTATTGCACAGCATTGACCTTAACTTTTAAGCATACGCACATATGAAGAAAATACTCGGGATTCATCAAGTTGTTGACGACCCAAGAAAAAGGTATATCTAAAATCGGTTCTATCCCTTGAATACGAACAGATTTGATTTCAGCAATCTCAGCTGCGTTGCAAGATGACCCGGGGTCAGATGATCTTTCACCCTCTTCTCCACTTTGGTTAATGTCTGTATCTCCTTCAATTACAAAGGAACTCTCCAGAAAAAACTCAGGTAATATTCTTTTAACCGCATCATTTAAACTAAAGTATTTACCTGCACGCAACAGACATAAAAAACAAATATATCAGTTAAATTGCAGAAAAGTAAAGATCATCCTAACAATAAAATAACAATTTCGATTAATTGCAATCGATTTAAGCAGAGACAGAGGAATGGCAAAGGATGCATGGACACTTCAATAGTGGGCATACCCATGAGAGACACATTTAGACACTCTGAATACAACTGGCTGGCCTTTTACAATTTTTTACTTTCATGTTTTGAATTTTTGTACCTTTATAGATGAAAATATCACAATAATTAGAGAAAAACTGACCAATAAAACTATCATACATCACGAAATCCCAAATTTCCTCGCTTTCTGAAACCTGATATCACATTTTACAAAATCTTCCAGATTTCATAAAATTATTGACTTTTGAATCTTTCAAATAAATTTATATCCCATATTTGTCCAAAACCATCAACTATTAGAGCAGAAAAATATGAACCTGAGCATATTAAGAAGGACAAGAAACTATTAACAGACCAGAATCATACAAGGAGCCAAAAATGCAATCAACCGTTTAGCAAGCTATGTGTTCTTGTAATTAATGTATATTACGTTACATCATGTGCATGTCACGTTACATCCATGACATGAGATCTGCCTTCTTATGATAAAAGTATATGTTAGGATATTTATCCTGTTTTATCATGATTATATTGTGTCAAGGGTTACCCTATTTATCATGATTATATTGTGTCAAGGGTTACCCTATTTATCATGATTATATTGTGTCTAGGGTTACCCTATTTATCATGTACTTTTGTATCAATTTATTCTTATAAATAGAAGATTATGAGAGGGATCAATCAAGCCCTCAAGAATTATTTCTTTTCAATCTCAAGTTGGTATCAAAGTCAGGTTGTCTGAGTCTCTTCTTACTTTGTTGTCACCGGCGGCCTTAAAAATTTCATCTTTCTGAAATACCTCAATGAGCAGTCTCGTCCTGATTTCTGTCTAGTCTCTAAACCTTAGTTGTTGTCCGCAACTGTCAAGCATTGTTTGTCGTTGTCCAGCGTCGTTTGTAGTTGTCGGGTGCCATTTGCTGTTGTCCATCTAGCACTGTTTTGCCCGCCACCGTGAGGAGCTGTCCGCAGAAGTTTGTCACCATCAACTTCTGTTCCCGACACCGTTTGTCACTGTCCGCCGCTGTCTGTAGTTGTCCGCTGTCGACCACCGTCCGTTGTTTTCTGTTGCCGACTACCATTCGCCGTTGTCCGCTGCCGACCACTGTCTATTGTCGTTCGTTGCCATCTGCTGCCACAGTTTAGTCCGACGACTAGTGATCTGGATTGCCTCCTTGAGCGAGATGGCTAGTTCTCATCCAGGCGTCGCCACGCGCGCCACATATGCCGACGTTCGCCTCCGCCGTCGTCACATTGTCTCTGGCGAAGTTAGGGGTTTTGTGCGCTTCGAGGAGCACAACCCATCCCTAGTTGTTGCCTCATTCTCATCTTGTCACGCACGACTTCTCTCCGATAAGCTTCCGACGCTTGTTTGTCACACGCCACCTTTCCGGTGTTGGAATCACACCGTGTCACTGTCGTTCGTCTCGCTCGACTAAATAAAAAAAACTCTATTTCAGCATTATACCTCTGTTTCAGCATTGTTCCTTAGCCTCCTTTCATAATATTTGTTTAGTTTTGCGTATTGTAGCAGTTGTGATGTTCCTGATGGCTTGTGTCATTTATTTACAAGTCTCCAAGGAGAGTCACTGCTATTAGTTGGTTAACACCAAGGAATTTCAACACCAAAGTCATAGTTTGAAGGTTACTCATGAGGGGAGTCTATTTATGGCAACATTTAGAATCTTAGTCAAACAATTTCACCATTCCCTTATCAGATCTGTTTTTAGATACTTTGATGGCTAACGGAGACTATTATGATCTTCCACCTTCACGATTTGTCATCGGCGGCATCGTCACTTTCGTCGTTTGTCGTGAGGGTCGTGAGGGGAGTATGTTTCCAACAACTACAATATGTTTCCAGCCACTAATCAGAGGCCCCAACTAGTCCCTGCTTTCAGCCACTGCAGGCCCCAATTAGTCAGAGATGACACTCCCTGCAGTTTTGTCGCTTTCAGCCACACTACAGGCCCCAACTAGTCATAAATAGCAGTCCTTGCATTTTTGTCGCTTTTAGCCATGCAGGCCCATCCTTACTTGATGGCAATCCAATCTCTGCACCACTCATCATTCACTTTTGATGGAAATCAACTTTGTCAAAGTCATCATACTTGAAGGTTCATGGTGCTAGATGAAGTTTCGTGGTTGTCCAATATTATTCTCCATAAGCTTATGAGGAGTCTCTTTGGCTATGCTGGATTGTGAGTCCAATTTGGTTTATAGACATTCTCTTCGGATGGTCTGAAGTATACGTTCATCTTGTTCTAAGTCGAAGTTTCTAAGTTCCTAAAGAGACCTCGGATTGAGTTTATTTGTTCCAAGCTTGGTACATACAATTTGTATGCTCCAACTTGAGGGAGAGTGTTAAGATTTTTATCCTATTTTATCATGATTATATTGTGTCAAGGGTTACCCTATTTATCATGATTATATTGTGTCAAGGGTTACCCTATTTATCATGATTATATTGTGTTTAGGGTTACCCTATTTATCATGTACTTTTGTATCAATTTATTCTTATAAATAGAAGATTATGAGAGGGAACAATCAAGCCCTCAAGAATTATTTCTTTTCAATCTCAAGTGTATACAACTTCTATATTGTATGCTATGTTATCCAAATTGTCTAAACTAGTGCATGTTTACGGCCACTGTGCATTCTCCACAAGAGAGAAAAATCTCTTTAGCAATAACTAAAATCGTGAAGATATAATGTCAACAAAAGTATTTAAGTATGTTTCTAGACACTCTGATTGACAATTTTTAACTATGGACGCATCATTTGTCCACTCGTGAATTCTCTAAAGTGGGCAATAACCCTCAATGCACCAATTTAGAGTCTAATCTCGTAATTAGGCAAATTATTCATATTTTTTCTGAAAATTAGCAATTTACTTCAAAAAGAGCTCGTCTTAGTTTTATTATTTCCGTAATGTAGCCTCTGGCACTCAATCAATATAGAAGTCAAGCACTTCAGAGGTTCATATCCCTCTAGCCAAGAGGAGCTTTACCACTTCTGCTACTTGGGCAATAAAAAATTGACAGATTTTATTAAATCATGAACTGTTTTGGTTGCAAATAAAAAGAAGTTTGTGATGTAACTTATGTTTGCAGCAACTTGGTTAACAAATACAATAATTGTAGACATGTTGCTTCCATTAATCTGAGATACAAGATAGTCACTCATCAGGGTCAGGGATTGTTTGAATAGATAATCAAGGAAACTGAAAGTTGAGTTTTATTATCTTCTCTTCGCTTTCCCTTTCACAAGTTATCTTTTAAGAGAATATAATATTACCTTAATTAATGATACTTTCGGTAAGTTCTCTATTCTTTTGCAACATACGGGCTAATCCTCAGCTGTGGTTCTCTATTCTTTTGCATTTTAAATCCATACATATTTAAGTTTGAGCCTTAGTCGCAGTATTGATAAATTGCACTTAATGATTGCTTATATTTTCCTAAAGGGAAATATTTAATATTTTGTTATAGCTCCTGATATAAAATACTAGGATCATTTATTTAACTTTCATGTGTTCTATATTTTTTTATTTTCTAACAACTGTTATCCTTTCCCCATTGCCCACTACTCCATCCTTCAGAAAACTATGGCTGATTTTGCCCCGACACCATCAGCCATCATGCCCTATTAATATGATGATCATTCCCATACAAGAAAATAGAAAGAAAAATTATAGAAAACAATCAACTTAGAAGTTACAAAGGAGGATTCTCTATAAGACGACTTACCATCTTCCTTATAAAGCTCAACAGGACGATTGATATATGAGACTTTGTCCCAATTATCAATTTGAGGAGCATCTTCAAAATCATCAAACTCCTCATTGACTGTCCACAGATATAAACGAACAGGAATCCTACCTACAAAAGACAGTAGATGTTAACCACAAAAAATAAGTTTATCTATCAAGAGGCATTGATACACGTGCTCGTTGTCAACAAATAGATAATTATGCAGTATTACAGTTTTAAGTACAATTAGAAAGTAAAATAAAAATAAGAAAGAATCAAGTAAAATAAGTAGCCTAAGTGATAGCTCTCAAAACTTTACATATGATCACACCATACAGATATCATTTTTAAAAGGGCAAGTTGAGAGCCCATAACGCACTCAGAATTGGTTTAATCCACTTGTAAATGTTTAGAAGATCCATGAGGAGGAAAGAGACTCCTCGCCTGTGCTAGGAATTTTGAATTTACAGATAATAAGAATATTCTTTTATAGAAAAAGAAAGAAATATTATCAAAAAGAATGGAGGGTGTAGACATGAAATCTTCCATACAAGAGGAAAAAACACAGCCAGCCAAATTGGCACACAAACTAGTTCATGTTGCTCACCGGTCTTAACTTGTCCAGTAACATCAGTGTCCCCTGTACTTTGTGGAGATTTAATCAAGACTGAGCTAACATTTTCTGTATATTCATCTTCAGAGGTTCCAAGCTTAAGCTTAGATGCCACCCGCCGATAAGTTTCTAAATTACCTGCAATGCATATGAGTACTGACTGTTGAAACAAGTCTAAAGATCAAAGGGCAACAAAACAATTTCTCCATAAATTACCAACGGCAGATGGAACCCTTGTTCCTTTCTGCACTTTAACGTTACACTACACTTTGTCTATCCTATCTTTTATGAATCTTAGGGTAGAATAGCATTCGTTCAAATTTGAGATTGGTTATACATTGAAAATTGGAACTAGCTTTCGGAAGTGTATGTTCAACTGTCTTAAATATTTTTCATTCCCAAAATAAAAACAGAGGGATAAAATAACTAAGGTAATCAAACAACTAATTCTACTCTGGAAAAGATCCTTGAGAAAAAAAGAATTTTACATGTTTAATGTTTATGACTGTTTGTATGCCAATAAAGATAGAACATGTTTGATTTGCTAAAAGATGAAGGAAAGAACAGCACAAAAAAACTTGTCCCGTGGTTTAATTTTAAACAAGAGAAAAGATGAAATACTGGACAGAAGGTAAANTCAGCATTGTTCCTTAGCCTCCTTTCATAATATTTGTTTAGTTTTGCGTATTGTAGCAGTTGTGATGTTCCTGATGGCTTGTGTCATTTATTTACAAGTCTCCAAGGAGAGTCACTGCTATTAGTTGGTTAACACCAAGGAATTTCAACACCAAAGTCATAGTTTGAAGGTTACTCATGAGGGGAGTCTATTTATGGCAACATTTAGAATCTTAGTCAAACAATTTCACCATTCCCTTATCAGATCTGTTTTTAGATACTTTGATGGCTAACGGAGACTATTATGATCTTCCACCTTCACGATTTGTCATCGGCGGCATCGTCACTTTCGTCGTTTGTCGTGAGGGTCGTGAGGGGAGTATGTTTCCAACAACTACAATATGTTTCCAGCCACTAATCAGAGGCCCCAACTAGTCCCTGCTTTCAGCCACTGCAGGCCCCAATTAGTCAGAGATGACACTCCCTGCAGTTTTGTCGCTTTCAGCCACACTACAGGCCCCAACTAGTCATAAATAGCAGTCCTTGCATTTTTGTCGCTTTTAGCCATGCAGGCCCATCCTTACTTGATGGCAATCCAATCTCTGCACCACTCATCATTCACTTTTGATGGAAATCAACTTTGTCAAAGTCATCATACTTGAAGGTTCATGGTGCTAGATGAAGTTTCGTGGTTGTCCAATATTATTCTCCATAAGCTTATGAGGAGTCTCTTTGGCTATGCTG